TATATCTAGCATGTATTGAATGGTGACATGCTATTGGCTGGAACCCTACGCCAACGGGTACACACATAACCTATGTTCCTTACTTGTCAACATATATCAAGAAGTTGTACCTGAAATGTTCGGTCAATAAACGTTATCAAGAGAAAGAGAATGCTTAAATTCCTATTATTTTTAGTAGCGTTTATTGTATTCATAAAATTTCTTCTTGTAGTTGATATTTACTGATAACACTTCATAACTAAATGGCTGATTTTTAGTTTATTTACTCTTGTGTACAAAAATTACGTTCCAATCAATTCATATTTAGATAACTTTATGATTTATTATTTTCTCTTCGTATGAGTTAAAAGAAAAAGCAAATCAAATATGTTTTAATTGTCACAGTTCGTTGTTGTATCTCATCCTCTTGTGGTGTGAGCTACTTATAAGTAGTATATGACGTGAGTGTCAACGTAATGTCTGACAGCGGAAGATGGGGAGAGATCAAGAAAGGAAGAGTTAGAACACAATGGAATTAGTATGAAACGCATGAATAGTGACAATGGATTGATGTTTTGCAACAGGATCAGTCCAGTTCGATATGATGAACTGTTATTTTGCAAATGAACGATTTACGATATGGTTTTCCAATTTTACTGAGTAACTCTGTAATTTTCGTTAAATACAATTCGGTTGCCCCACCTGTGTTCTAGTTCACTACACTCTATGTTCACTATATCATTTCTGTGACTTTATTACAATAACAACAAACCATTCATAATTGTTTTTGTTTTTACCTTGAAATTATGAATGAATCATAGTTAGACCATCGTTAGAAAAACATGGAAGCACTACCTGGCCGTCTCGTCCTAGTATGAAACTCTTCAGCAGCGCTACCATGACTCCTGTTACTCGCAGGATTCGAACCCACGACCTATTATGGTCTTGCGCGTGAACGCTTAACCTCTAGATTCATGAACTAATTGTATTTTATCAGTATGACTTTTTATTTTTATACTTTTGCATACATATTGTTAAGGTTATTATCACTATAATTATTAATATTAATATTATGATTATTATATTTATTACTATTATTATAATTAGAGTGCAATGTTTTGTCTCAAATTTGTCCTCGTTTCTTTGTTGAAATTATTTTGATTGTGAACAACTAGTCATAATAACAGTGTAGTTATTGTTTGATAATTGTTTGCACAATATTGTGTATTATTTTGCATAACTTTTAATGTATGAACTTATAATCGATTTCTGTCTGCATGTAGGATGACTGTGTTCAACATTAAATTATGAATAACCATTAACTGAATTTTGAGAAATTTAAGCTGCATCGGTTTTACTTCACGATCTAATCTTAACAATCAAAAGAAACACTGAAAACACTAGGATAATGTTTAGTTGATAATTTGTGAAGACTAGTTCATGGTTTTAATTCACAGATATTGACTTTATTTTAAAAAACTATTGGAAAATGAACAGTTGTTTCGTTCTAGTAAAAAACTTCCTTGCAGTCCTAATCCACGACTGCAAAAGTAGTGTTGTTATGGTATAATCACCATGGAAACTGAAGACTTTCTTAAGTTTAGTCATGTACGAGATCCAAGGGTTCTCACTACTTATACTTAAAGCAGTCGTAAAACTAGCACGAATAATCGGTCCAAAGTTTCTTCCTTTATATGACGATCTAGATAAAGTACTCGGTCTGAAGCCCCTCTGGCGTTACTGCTGGTCTCAAGCCTGGAAAATAGGAGGAGGATTTGATATCGCGTTAGCAGTTCAACCCTGTGGAAAACCAACTCGCTATAAAAACGCTCACCGGAAAAATTAATTCAAACCATCTAAAGTCTGCCGTGATAGTTGGAAAGTCTTCACTTAGAACAGTTATGATGTCTCACGATGGAAGCCGAGTTTTTTTGGAAATCACAAGACTGATGCCCCTTTTGAGAACCAGATCAACAATTAATGTAGGTACATGAAATACCCGCACATTGTGGAAGACCGGAAGTCATACACGTTGCTGTAGAAATCAAAAGATACAACCTGGTGATACTTGGAATTAGAGAAACACATTAGACACAGGTTGAACAGAAAACATTAGCTTCAGGAGAGATTCTCTTATACTCTTATATCGGACTGTACTAAAACATGTTTCTTCGGAGCACGTTTCAAGTGATCAATGAAGTCATTTACAGAACCACCACTCTCACTTACGCAATCCAATAATCTACTTTGATCTATGTTATCTTTCAAGGAACAAATATTCTCAACTGAGTGCTTAGGTTTTAGGCATTTCGTCAATCCTACTGACTGGTTCACATTTCTCACTGTCTTTTCTGTAGAAATTGTTTCATTAGAAATTGACATATATTTGCGACATCTGACACACCTGATTTACTTTTGAAAATAGAATAAATCAATCGATGAATGATTTCAAATTAGTTGTTAGGGGTGATGATGGAAATCAATAGATCATGTGATGCTAACTGTAATGAAAGTGATGCAGTTGTGTTTAACCAGTAGTGACTTCTATGATGTAGAGAATAGTGTATTTTTATGACGAAAGAGCTAGTGAGGACTTATTTCAGTTTACTTGAGTGAGGTCAACTGTTTATCTCATTGTAAAGCATTCAACAGTGAAGTAAAAATAAGGATGTTAGGATACTGTTGAAACTGTAGATTCATCATCGCTGTACACTGTTGTCACGTGATGTTCACTTTCATTTCCTACTTCTACACTAAATGGAAAGAATTAATGAACGGAGAGACATGGAAAGCTCTCTCACATGGACTCCCGCACACATACTCGCTACTGAATTTAATATGCACATTGTAATGATAAATTTACAAAGTAATAGAAGTATTTGTATGACTGAACTTGTAGGTCTCGTTCAATTACTACGATTGAGTTAATACAAGTTGATTTTATTGGTTAATAATGGTAAGTTTAGTTTTCCCAAATATCACTAAGAGAATCATTCAGCTGTGAATCAAATACTTTTATCAACATCTTTGTTAATCTACTAATTTTCTGTGGTTCAGATCCTTATAACGGTTTTATCATCCTTCAAAATAAATAACTCTATCTATGCTAACTGATTTAAGTATGATTTTAAATAAACAAAATCTCATACTGAATGGGTGTATTTTTTGTCAGCGATGGCATTAGTAACCATGCTCATTGATCATTGAATAAACCAACTAGTTTATTGTAACATATCACAAAGGTCAGTTGGTAAATTCACTGGTCCGGTTATATCGTGTGTTTGTATAATCTATAGTTTAGCATTATGAGCTCATTGTCAGGAAACGAATAATTTAACCGATGTTTCAATCCATCGTTGCAATTCCGATAGAAATAAGGTTACATATACCTATCGCCAATGAACTTACTTGTGTCGCACACTTACGAAAATGTATTACTTGATTGGCTGGAATAGGTTAGGTATTAGTCACTGCTAAACCATATCAAAAAGTGTGGTTAGTTAGGTATGTACGACGTATATTTTAGACCATTTGCTATTTCACTATTTCCAGTTATCTTCACTATTTGCATTTAATTTCCTAGAATCAGTCTCCTAGGTAACTTTAGTGTCTAATTCTATCTCACACCCAAATGGGTTGTCATTTCTTTTGAGACGATCAATTCATTTATTCTCACGTATTCACTTCGTGTGCTTGTGGATTTGTGATCTCTGCTGTACTATATATAATAAGCTGTAGTCAAGACTTCGTATTATCTTCTGAATTTTATGCACCGTCGGGAGTTATTGAATAGCAGTTATCAGGGCAAGTAATATAAAAAGCATAGGAATTATCTCAGAGATATTCCACTACATAATCAGTGATGATCATCACTTTTTTCACCCTAATTATGAGACTGTATACCAGAAGTTAATTGAAAATAAACTCTAGATATCATTCAGTCAGTATCCAGTGAAGAATTCTTGTCATTCACCTTCAATACTCCTGTGAATATGTTACAGATAGTTCTTTTTAATTCATATCTGGGGTGATCATTCTCAAAATAAACCTAAACGTCAAGTTTGAAATGGACAACACCGGATATGAAGAAATCATGTGATGACATGGACTGTGAGGAAGGAACAAATGCCGTGAGATATTCACAAATCAATGTGCCTTCAACAAGCTGGTCATAGACGGTGCCATATTCCTACAAAAACATATACACAAACATACATGTGTTTCGCTGGATCACACTGCGAAGAACAAAATCGATCACATCTGCATCAACACAACGTTCAAAAGGACTACGGATAGTGTGAGGAAAAAGAGAGAAACTGACGTAGTTTCAGATAATCACTTGGTGCTGGCCAAGATAAAGGTGAAACAGTCATAACAAGGAAGGCAAAGCAATCACCGACATCCAAAATCACAGAAACGTGTGGGCAAAGAAATGAGGAATTCCTGAATAGACCAGTCCAGTCGAACCCGCCCAACATCGAAGAAGCACTCATGGACCTCCCAATCGATGTTTACTCACTTACAATTGAAGAAATCACCATGGTCATCAGACAAATTAAGAACGGCAAAGCAGCGGGACGAGAATGCATTCCAGCTGAGGTATTGAAAACAGAATTAGCAGTAACTGCAAAGATGTTTCACTTTCTATTCAACAAGATGTGGGATGAAGAACAAGTACCAACCGACTGGAAAGAAGGACACTTCGTCAAGATACCAAAGAAGGGAAATCTCATCAAATTTTAAGAAAAGTATGGTGCGACAAACGTAATAAAACAGTCCGAGTTCCGATATTTTAAATACTAGAAAAACACATTTGGGACAAGAGTGCCTACAGTAAATGTAAAGTAATTTGAACAGAATAGGATTAATTTACCGGAAATATTGTAACATAAAGGTTAATTGGACCTCAATTTGTGGTATCGATTAGTGCGCAATAGATGACATCAGTCGATCAATAATCATGTCGACACTTTTTCAAGTGTCAAAAGAAAATGACTGTCAATAACAAGAAAGAAGATAAATTTACATTCAATGTGTTTTTATTAACACATAATACATTGTACATACATATATATGTATGAATGAAAAGAAGTGAGCAGTACAATCCCATAAACTATCAAGGGAAAGTGCTTTGCCTCACCTATTATTTTTTATTTATTCGACAACCTATGGTTGTGATACATACATACATCAAGATGAGTGAATAATTTGTACAAATTTGTTTTTTTTTTCAAAACGGTGGTGCTGCATTGTCTGTCCATGTTATAGTAAATGCATTTCTAAAGAATAAATCAAAACTTGTTAATAATGTTTCACTGCCACATTCAATAATTCGTTTGATCAGTGACAGTAATGTATAAAACAATATTTGTGACAATGTGTGTTGTCGTCTACAATCTTCATTATGTATAGTTATCTGAGTATCTGGTGGAGAAAATAAACATTTTGTTAAAAAATCAATAAAATATAATACTGTACAAAAAAAGAAAAAATATGATGATAATTTTATGAGACCTTGATTACTTAAACATTCAAATATATATGATATTGTTTTATACAAATAACTTGTGTTCTGATTGTGAAAATCAGGATTATCGGGACTAGAAAAAGGAAGAGGTGGAAACAATGGTGTTGTAGGCAAGATATAAGTAGGATACAAAGGATTTTCACGATTATTATTATCATTATTATTGTTATTATCATTATTATTATTACGTAAAAGTAGTAAACAATTCTGTGATAATCTTCTACGAATAAATAATTTACAAATATAAGAGTCGTTGGGTAGTTCAATGTTCTCTGAATGAGTTATATGATGTGATGAATTATTACAATTGTCCTTGTCGTCATTATTACCTGCACCATCAACATGATTCGCACCGTTATCATCATCATCATCATCATGTTTCTTGGTGTGGTTGACTTTACAAATAATTTTGTTCAATGTTGTAGACATTGTGTTCAATGGTGAATTGATTAATACTTCATCATTTAGGTGATCAGTTCTCTGGTAGGATATGTTTTGTGCATTTTTTATTTTCATTTTATGTGATTTGTAAGAAGCTTCAGTGACAGGAATGCAATTTGAAGAATTCACAAAATCCCTGATGATAGTTGTTCTGACTGGGACAACGCGTCTTTCTGATACATTTTGAGTAGAAATTGTCAGATTGGAATCCGATTGGATTTTTGTGATTTCGGCACTCAACAATTCTGACAGATCATTTCTGGAATAAGACATAAAATAACAGTTATTAAATAGATTTCATTAACCTTAGAAGAAGTAAGCCAATTCAAATAATCGATTCTCAATCAGTCATTAACGTTCTGAAGAATAATTACTACTGAATAATACAGTTACATAAATAAAACTCTTTCGTTGTCACGAAAACCTAAAGCACAAGAAAACAGCGACGCAGATAAAATGGTCTGTGAAAGTATCAGAAATGTTTATATTGAGGGTGCATTGACTCTTCGTATAATGAAACTATCATCAACAATGCAATAGAAATAAATGAGTTAAGTGATAGAGTGAATCTTGCCCACCAACCAACTCTTAATCACTCCACTCTATTTTATGCAGAATAGAAAATGCATTGGCAAAAGAAGATAAATCCAATATCATTGACAAAACAAATTGTACCGATTGTGACGAACATTGCATTGCACAAGAAAAACGCCCTCTTTCACTGGACACATAAATAACAAAACTACCAGTGAAATGTCACAGTATGTTATCACTAGCATCAATCCATTCGGAAAACTACTACACTCACTAATTGACTGGGAGTAAGTACGTCAACATTCTGGATAGTAGTGAGTATTGTGAGAGTGCCAGAGAATATTCGCAAGCCCGACATTCATGTCAGTCATTCAAGAATGACGACACTGATTTAGTTCGGATCTACAAACCCGTTTGATAAAGCTTAATCAGTAGTGACATGACGGTCGAAACAAGTATCAACTAACTGTACAGAATAAAAGTGATTTCATGTACGCAGGTGGTGAACGATATTTAACAACACTTACCCACCAACCAGTATTGTCGAAATGATGTCACCATTGTCGATTGAATGATCCGTTGGCGTTGCAATATATGATTCGGTGGCTAATTGTTGATGGTTGGGATCCATCAAGACTAATGCTGATGATGATGATGAGGAGGAGGAGGACGAGGGAGATGACAACAATGGTGACACTGATGAACATGTGACACTGGCTGATAAGTCAGCTGGTGTTCTTGATACTACGCTCGAGTGTTTCTTCTTCAAACAACGCTTGTCTAGATCGGTTTGACTATGAACATTTGATTGGATTTCTGTGACAAAAGTTAAGCAGAGAAATCGTTGCATTTTTTAGGAGATAACAAGACAATGATGAGAATTGATGCAGAGAAAATAGTTTTCGAATTGCGATATAGTTAATCAATCAACGACAATTGTGGAGAACTTATTTTTCCCTTGGTAAAGCACTATAAACAGATAGATCCCCTTGTAAGTGCACAGAAGAAATGGGGTAGTTTTGTGAAAGTATAGTATGGTAAACTGAGACACTTTACCGAATACCCGAAAACACCAACACAAATCTCACTTCATTTTCAAGTTTCCATGGTGCGGATAGCCGGAAAATGACAACCGCCCTTATTACCTGTAAAAGCCTACGAGACCTTATTGGTCACGATCATATCCTTCCTACACCACCTAAAGTTAAGATATTCATCCGATATGCTAAAAGAATTATTGGTCAATTCATAACGGTTAATTCCTACTGGTCAATTTTATGGTCGTCCTAGATATCAATGTTACGTGCTCCGATGTTGTTTCATATTGGTTGTCCTACTATCAATGTCACTTCAAATGTTGCTTCCTATTGGTCGTCCTAACTGTCAATGCCACAGAATTCGATGCTGTTTCCTATTCGACTAAAATGTATAAATACGCATTATTTGTAACGTTTTATGACCACGACCAGGACCAGGGCTCGGTACCGGATCCGCAACCCGAGATCCTGATTTTCTTCTCGATTCGGACCTCGTAATTTCTGGATGCTTGTAGAATACACGTTCTACTTCATATCAAGTCTTCTTATTTTTACTAAATGTGGGGGTTGGGATAATCGGATTTAGTAGCATGTCGTGTCGCCGGATCCTCGCTCTCGTTTTCCGACTAGGTAATCTCGTAATAGTTCAAGCATATCAGAATGACGTGTTTACGTGCAGGCGTATCACCTATTATTTCTCTTATCTGCACGACTTACCCTTCTCACATTCCTATATCATCACCACCGCTAATGCAAAAGATTCGAGTTCCCGAAACGTTATTCCTGGCCTCTTGAAACTCCGTTCTCAGATGCATATTGGAGCTTTTAGTGCCCGAAAGATGTGTCAAATAGGACAACAAGCTTTCATATCTATTACTTATGAATCTCGCACCATCGATGTATGCTGTGTCTCCGAAACGCGCATGCAGGATCCGAGTAAAATGGTTAATTTGAATTCACCTTATCCAAATAAAGAACCAGCTTGGTTTATGCTCCGTAAGCCTTGCTACTATTGCTTCCCGTCGCCCCGCTAGCCCGGGTATAGCATTAAGTCTTGAGCAGACCTAGCTCTTTCAGACTGCATCCCAGTAGATGGTCGCTTATGCACTGTCCGATTAAACGAGGTAGTAAGGACTCGTAAAGATAGGGAAACTCGCCGTTGCCTCTTTGTTGTCTCTGCTTACGCTCCCACTGACTGCAGCTCGGAGGAGATAACCTAACTGGGTCACATAGTCATCAGCCACCGATGGCGGGATTCTGTAGAAGACTGTCACTGGTCCTGGAGCACATGTTGAAATTCAGATCTAGTGCTCTCTTGCGTGAGCGCGTATTTGTCTGCGGCTTACTGGATGTAGGAAAGACACTGCAAGAAAACCTCTTAGGGTTCTAATTAATGATAGCAAAGCTAAGAATATATTTCAGGAACAACTATAAAAACAGTTAAGCAGCCATGTAGTAAGTGATGCACAGCCTGATACAACTTGGAATGATATCCAAAAGTCTCTGCAGACAGCAGTGATATCTGCTAGTAAGGTAAACCATAAGGTTAGAGCAAAGCCGTGGATCTCAATAACATCTACCGAACTGATAGATGCTCGGAAACTCATCCCATCTGCCTCTGAGTACAATGAGGAGCGGAGTCAGCTTTGGCGCAGGCTGAAAGGAGTCTACTCAATGATTGCGAACAGTGGTAGATAGAGAAAGCGAGAGACATGGAAAAGGCGGCGGCGACAGGTAACAGTAGACAACCGTTCCGACAAATCAAGGAAACCAGTATGACTGTAAGTGAGACTATAGCAGAAAAGGTCTCATTATTCATTCTCAACCTAGGAGATTGGATCGTTGGGCAGAAAACTTTAGGGGTCAGTTCAACTGGCCTTCAGCCACACTTCGGTTACCCACGATCTCCAGTCAACGTGAATGGCAAATTGATGTAAGTCCTCCGACTCATAACGAAGTTGAAAAAGCTATGGGAAATCTGAAGTGAAAGGGAGCAGCGGGTCCTGACAGGTTGAGCCCTGAGATTTTTAAGGATGGTGGTCCAGTTTTTGTAGTTAAATTGACTGAGATCTTAGGGACATTCTGGGAACTGGGCGTAATCCCATCTGTCTGCTGTCAATCACTGATTGTCCCAGTCTATAAAAAAGGACAAAAGTCCTCTTATGAAAGTCATAGAGGAATCAGTCTAACTAATAGTGTCTAAAATGTTAGAGTCGATTGTACTTCGACTCCTAACTAGAGCTCGTAAAGAGCAGATTCTAGAAAATCAGGCTGGTTTTCGACCTGGACGTGGCTGTATAGACCAGATATTCACGCTACGTCAGGTCCTAGAACATAGACATTTCGATGCACTGATGGCCTGTGACTGATGAAATCTCAGCACAGATACAGAGGGGTCGACTAGCTTCTACCGACTTACATCATTATTGGCGTAGGCGAGATATCCGTCTACCAACCAAAGGACGTATTTACAACGCATCAGTTCGTTCGGTCCTATGCCAGTGAGAATAGAGGATTTTCATAGATTACTGGTTTTCGATCATCGGCATCTTTGAAGCACTGCTCTTACATCCTGGGATCGCCGAGTAAGCAGTGCTGGGGTTAAAAAGCAAGTATTAGGAAAGGATGGAAGATCAATAAATGAAGTATCGAAACTTCATCAGTGGAGGTGGTAGGGAGTTACATATGCCCAACCAGCGAATGCCTCGACGAGCGATGTTTCGTAGTGTAGGAGTATGTTGGAAGAAAGCTAAGGGCACTCAGATCAAAACACGTCACAAATCCATGAAGTTACTGACTAGTTGACTGATTCATGTTGTTAAATGTAGACTACCTGGTTGGGTTCGACGAGAAGTAACTGATGGTTAGAAACCTTGAACGACATGGCTTAAAATCGTTTGTACTGGTGCAGAGGCATCCAAGCTGTGTGTTCTCCGAATTCTTCAATACCTCTATCTTTCTCTTTCTAAATTTATTTCACTGGGTTACATTTCTTGAATAATTTCTTCGAATCCTAATCTTCTCCATGATCGCTAATATTTCTAGTATCTTTACCACTATGGAATTTGACCCGACGATTTCATCTCTGTGCTAATGTGGTATGGCAACTTGCTTGAAGAGATTCACGTACGTGTGAAGTTCTACGTTATACCTGACTGACTGAAACGAATCTATCAAAAGAAATACGTCTGTCTCTTCTGTACTGGTAAGTGTTATCTACACGTGATATGGACCGATTATCTACGGATATTCAGAAACCATGACGGAAATATCGATAACATGAAAGAAAAAAAACATTACCTTTGGTGAATGGTTGCACAGCGGTTATTGACGGACAATCATCATTTTGAAATGATGGTGCCAACAGTGACTTGATTTCGTTTTCCGGAACAATTTGCCGAATAGTTAAATAATTCAATGGACAATGATTCATCATGTATAATTTGACATGTTGCATGAAAGTGAATGGTTCGTTTCCATGTCTAACCACAATGATACGGACAATTTTTAAGTAATAACCGAATGTAGAAGATAAATCTGAATAACGAACTTCCATAGTAGACATGTATAAATAAGCAATCTGTGGAGTATTCCTCTGTTTCATTAATGAATTTCTATTTAGATGAACAGCTTTGAAACTTGTTGAGTATGAGATACGTGGTCTACATATTGATGTTGACAATTGAAGTTGATTTGTATTCAATAACCGATGATTGACGGAGAAAGAGGTAGAGGACGCTGGCACTTTCATTGGATGTTGTCTTTGTGATGTAGACAGGACTGGAATTTGTGATTGGTTTTGATGGGACTGAGCGGTCAAATGTGGACGAGTTATATTTGACTCGTGTTTATCGATGTGTTTCAACAGTACTAATCCATGTTTCTTCGAGGCACGTTTCAAGTGATCATTGAAGCCATTTACAGAATCACCACTCTCACTTACGCAATCCAATAATCTACTTTGATCCATGTTATTTTTCAAAGAACAAATATTCTCAACTTAATGCTTAGTTTTTAGAAATTTCGTCAATCCTACTGACTGGTTCACATTTCTCATTGTCTTTTCTGTAGAAATCTTCTCAGTAGAAATTGACATCTATTTGCGACATCTGACACACCTGATTTAGATTTGAAAATAGAATAAATCAACTGATAGATGATTTTAAATTACTTGTTAGGACTGATGACGGAAATCAATAGATCATGTGAGCTGACTGTAATAAAAGTGATGCAGTTATATTTGACCAGTGACTTCCACGATGTTGGGAAAAGTGTATTTTTAGCTGTACATTGTTGTCACGTGATGTTCACCTTCAATTGCTAGTTCTATATTTGGATTCACAGCTGCTTAAAACATGTTTGAAAATTTGAATTTTCAGATTATCGATTTCTCAGCAGAAGATTCATGCAGTGATTAACATTGTGCACAGATGATAGAGTTCTGTTTAATGAAGACAAAGACCAAACGGAATATTTTGAATAATTAGGGTGGTAAATACAAGAATATTTGAGATGCATTTCATTTGTATGAGCAAACATTGTGGCAACAGTTTGTCAAATGGCTACTCCAAATTTCGGGCTTACTAATTTATTTCTAATAAGGTGGACTTTTGTTTCCTGAGAAATTAAAATATAATCAATCTGTTGTATAATAATGCTGAATCTAGAAGAGTGTTATCATTTATCTCTGACAAGGAAGAGAATTTATTTGTGAATGTTAATGCTTATGAATGGGCTACGGCCCAGTCAATATCCAATTTTACTAAAAAAGAAAATGCTCACTCATTAATTGTTTAGGCTTTGATGCATAGGAAGCTTGCATGTATCAATCAATATTAGAGTTATTACATTATTGTTGTTCCGTTTGTGATCATGACAGAATGTGTTAACAACGAATCGGACGCTTGAAATCAGGATTATTAAATTTTATTGAAAATAGCATTCCACAGTCATATACTTCAACTGCCCAAAAATGACTTTTCAGTTGAAAAATGATTTGTTGTGCGTTCCACAGTTTAAAAGGCTATGTTGTGATGTTATGTTCCAGTCGTAGTTACATTCAGTTTGCAAAAGATTCTGTTTGTTTGTGATTTTCAATTACTGTCAACCTAATGGAATTGTAATTTTTCTAAAACGATTTAACAAATAATCTTTAAGAATAAAATCTATGTAACTCACTTTCTTGGTATTGTTAACTTTCATGAATTCAGTAAAACAAATACTTTAATTCATACAAAGCAAAAAATTATTTTTCTAAAAGAATTATTGATCTCATTACTATTTTGTTCATTTCACTTCTTATTGGGATGAATTCAAGAGTTGGCATGAATATTATTGAATTAATAGTTTCATCTTAATGAGTGCTGCAGAAATTTGGAAAACCAAAGAGTAATACAAGAAAGATTCATTTTTGTACACTTTTTAAACAAAAGTTGAATAATTTTTAAAAAATATGATTGTTTGTTTTAAATACATCCATCCAATTCATTCTTGACAATTGCTAACAACTTTAAGTCAATTATACTACAAAATACTGATATACTTGTAACTCTGCTGGATTAGTAAACAAACATGTAAACTGCCTTTTGGTTGAAAGTGAGGATAATCTAATTTATGTTGTGAAACACTGTGTTATTTAATCGGGTAATTTATTACGCCAGAAGAAAAAATTCAATCCAACGTTACATCACGAATAAACATCCTTAGTCTTATTATTATTTGATTCCTTTGAAGGTTCTTCGGAACAAAATCGCCAGCACACACTTCAGGTAGATGTAAATAAAGTATTTGAATTTCTGCCCGTATGACTCGTAGCTCGTCCTGTTGACCTCGATCTTCATTGAGTGTTATTGATCTTTAACCTGTTTTTGTCTGCATCTTCATATTGACCGTATCCCCCTTTGGTCTGTTTCCTGATCCTATATTTGTCTATTATTTCTCTGACTGGTTCATAAATTGGATCTATGTCGATGTGTTTGTTGATTGTCGATCCTTCTGTGAGTGTCAAGCTTCTAAATTTTCTCTTATCTTCTTTGTAATTGCTCTATCCAGTATTTCAACACTTTTCCAATCGATGATGTTGTTCAGAAGAACAACGAAAGTTCCACAACCAAAACATCCAACTCAGAGAATGAAATTTCACCATAGTTATCCTCCTGGGCTACCAATTTTCTCCACCATCCATAAGATTTCAATAATTTCTTCATATTCATAAGTTATCGTTTGAAATGCTGCGTAAGTATGACCTAAATTTATTTCTGGTTCAACATTGATCAGACACTATTTTGTTTCAGTCAGAAACAGTCTTCGTTTCTAATTTATTGCAATTGATTCTGTGTACTCATTAAACTATCTCTTACTTTACAACAATTACATGTTCAGTGTTATGTGATCTGTAGAACAATTGGTTGACGAAGAGCTAAAACGTTTTACTCAGAAGTGGATCTCTTAATAATCTCTCTGTTAGAAATGAATAAATCAACAGAAAAGATGAAATGTTAAAAAACTAACTTCCAGGAGTGAATCAGGATATTTTTGTAAATCTGTATAAAATGTGTTTATCAAAAAGTGAATTTATGTATGATTTTATAGTTCTCCTTAATAATTAATATTATTCTTTGGCTGACTAGAAATTACAATTTATTGATTATAAATTGGTTGCGTCGTTCTATACTACTGATAATCTGGTTTGATAGAGATTAAGACTTCGTAATTACTGTTTGTTACGGTGTTGTATTTAATACATACTATAAAATGTTTTGGTGTGAATAACCGAAGACATCTAGTGTTCCGATTGAGAGCTGAGGATAAAATAATTTCTGCTTGTGCCAATAACGGTTAGTATTTACCATAGACAGTGTGGGTTATTTTTATTGCAACAAGAGTAATAAACATCATCATTCTTCAGATAGAGAAATTCGAATTTCATCACAAGACGTCATAACGTTTCTGAATTCAGACTTTCTAACTCCGAGGACGAAGTTTGAATGGTTTGAATTATTTTTTCTGGTTAGCGCTTTTTTAGGGAATTGGTTTTACACGGGATGTGGTCGCCAACTCCATGCCTAGAGGTTCTTCTTAATCCGGGGCTGAGACCAATAGTAATTTCAAAAGGGCTCCAGGAAGAGACATGAAGAGAATGAACAGCGACTGGGTAGAACTGAAAGGGAAGGCCCAGGACTTAGTAGGTTGGAGAATGCTGGTCGGCGGTCTATGCTCCATTAGGGGTAAAGGGGCGTAATTAATTAATTCAGTAAGTAAGCGAGTAAGTAAGTAAGTCAGTAAGCAAGTAAGTAAGTGATTCTTCAGATAGATCAGCTTAACAGTGTGTAGGTAATCAATCTCAAATCTTAGAATGAAGTGCAGTGGATTTGCAGCTTATACCAGTCACATAAACACAGTCAAAGAAAGGCGATAATAAGTTTAAATTTAAAATAATAAACCATGCAATTACATTCAGTAACCGCTGAGGTTATCTATCAAATTTTAGGTGTTCGAATGGTGTGTTATATTCAATACTTTTGAACATTTCCTCATTTATCTACTATGTGAATGTTGTCTATCAGTGTGTACTTTTTACTAAAGATTTTATGTTAAGAATTTGCAGTTACCCACAACATTCTGGTATGATCATATCAGTCAATATTATACACCTCGAAATATTAGATAAAAGATACAAATATGATGAAAGTTAGAACGTGAAATGAATTGTATAATTAAAAAATTGACACTTTATTATATGTAACATTTATTTAGTTAATGAACGGACAAAATAACTAGAAATGTATGAACTAACACAACATTTAAACCATTTGAAAATATAAGTAGATAATCACCAATCAATCATTGTTTGACCACCATTAGAAACCTGCGAGGAGCAGGAGTCGTGCATGCGCACTGCTGATGAGTCCCATACCAGGACGAAACGGCCGTCCAGTGCTTCCAGGTTTCTAATGGTGGTCTAACAATGATTGATTGATGCTTTCAAATGTGTAAAAACACAAACCTCCAAAACTCTGCCCCAAAATAAGTAGATAACATTCATATTGTTTTCCAAAAAAATAAACAATATTCAATAATATGGCATACATAATCTACTTACTTATTATAGTATTCAATGTATTGATCGATTCGATTTAAACAAGTATAGGAATAACAAAATTGTCGCAATAAAATTGTTTTATCTTTAGCATTTTTCATATTATTCCAATTAATTTCACATAACTTAACCAACTGATTATGAATACATGACATATATAATAATTTAAACTGAATTTGCTGTATACAAAAGGAGGGAAAAAAATAGTAAATAAGTATAATTATAGTAATTACGTTACAGATATATCAGTACCAAGATTGCACTCGATTGTTTCAAAGAAATTGAACATTGGGTTGAAAGTTAATAGTGTTTATAATCATATCCAAATGAGTAGGTATTTTTAATACAGTCGAATATTCTGCTTTGTTTGCTGCTTACTATTTAAACGTGTTTTGCATTAGAGAGTTATGGAGATTGTTGTTATGACTGAAGCAATGGACGGCCGTTTCGTCCTAGTATGAGGCTCTTCAGAAATTGGTATCTACGAACCCCGCTCCACTGAATCGAACTTAGGACCTTCGGTCTCGCGCGCGGACGCTTAACCTATAGACGACTGAGTCAGCATCCAACAATGTTAATATGTAACTTCGATCAGTCTAGGGTATTGCACAACCTCATTGATTGTGTTTGGTTGTTACTATCTATACGCAACAGGGTTGAACTCCAATGGTCACGACTTCTTACTAGAATTGAGAGAATTTCCTAACAAAGCTAGTCGCTAGTGAGCATATTTTACAATTTTTCATGATAGAGTTTTATTCAATGACTTGAATTAAGTCATGAAACATCAGAAATACAAACGTATACTCATTGGGATATCATCAAAATTTATAATAATTTTATTATTTTTGATAAAAATTTTTTATGCATCAACTCCTGTGACTGTTGTATGAAGTTCACTTATAGTAATTCATAAAGAATTTACAATTAATTGATCGTTAAGTAATGAATATATTTCATTAAATAATAATAAAATTGAAAAGTTTATTCTTAGAACTATTAAATTACAGTGTATTGAGAAAAGAAATAGATTTTTGGATAAATAAAATAAACTGAATTAGGCAGTTGATAAGATTCTGAATTTGTTTCAATTGCAGTAAATCAGAATGTTGTACATTGAATCTATTACTATATTGTGAAATATCTTTTATGAATGCAAAATAGATTCACAGTAACTATAAATCATGATATAGAAGTCAAATGAGTGGATGATAACTTTTGAAGCGTATCGTATCAAAATTAGCTCAATTATTTTACTTATCATTTAACTAAGAATAAGGATATTTTTTGGGTACATTTAAGCGTATAACTAATATGCTTTATTTATTTACATCTAAAAATGATTAGATGTTTACCGAGAAACCAGAAATTCTTACGCGGAGAATGTTGTGAGAAATCTCATAATAGAACGAAAAGGCTGTTTAATACTCAGTAGTTTTCGATAATTACTTAAATGAGACGAATCCATAACGGACACGATTCATAAGATATAACGAAGTGATTGCATTTTAAATATATTCTCCCTTTTCCAAGCAGTGAAAGGTTTTTGAAAAAGGTTAGTTCATTGGCGTAGTAACTTCGTGTTATATCACGTTACTTGAGATCCAGGATAACTTTAGTGTCGTTAAAGAAATTTAAGTAATCTTGTGATCCTCTTCATACTTTGTAACTAGAATACTTGGATTTCAATCAATAAGATGGTATGTTCAAACTTCACTCAGTTCATTTTAATTTCAGCATCCAGCTATTATCTGTTATAACGCTCTACACTAGATACCCAGCCAGAACTATGCTATTAGACTTCAACACAACTCAGATCAAGAAAACAAGCCTGACCAAAATGTGTGCATATTAGTCAACAGTCAAAAATAGTTTATATTGATAAAAAAGGGTAAGGAATACGTGTTACCTAAATTACATGTTGACTAGTTGTCTGTCTAAGTAAATAACCAATCACAATTTTCCTTCGCTTACACTACAACATCATACTATTTTTCACACTGAATCTGGCTTAAAGGGAATTACACAAATCAACAATTCGTCATGTTTGAGATGGTTGTTCTCAAAGTAAGCAACTACAATCGATTTTTAAAAATAGTAGAATCGAATGTCTATGAAACTCTTCTTAAATGATTCATGATCACTGACTCCCTGTTTTTTAAGAACTAATGATATTTTTTTGAAAATGCGAAGATAAAATTCCTGTATCGAACTCTTTGACATGGATAGTTTACAAATGAAAATTCTTCTAATTAATATGCTTCAATAAATGGACAACTTAGATTAGTAGTTATAGAATGAAGTCATTGATGCAACACAGTGTTTTGGATAATGCAATAATCTGGATTGATATATGTCCAATAAGTGCATTTTTATATGCCTACTCCATTGACTGATGCCTATACTAACAAATATATATTCTTTACACAAAGAATTCATCAGTTTTTAAACACTAATTTCTTAACGTTAATTTGTACGTTGCACTTGTTGTCGTTATAATGAGCATGTAGTCAGTGCTGTAATGTCTAGCTTACAAGGCTCGTTCTGGCTTTTGGACAAATTAATTAGCCCACTTGTCTTTTGACATTGTCAATCATTCGTTCATATCTGCGTTGCTTTTATTCGTGTGTGTGCACGCCTATCTCGCTTATTACATGTCTGGCTAATTTTTGTCTGACTATAAATTCTTACGGATGCTTGATAGAAAGGAGTTAGCAATCTCGCTTTCTCCACTTCAATTCATTTCGCTTTGCTTTGCTTGTATGCTTTTCGTCCTCATGTCTGCATAAACATTTGTCTGAGATAAACTCATCCGACCGAATCCGTATTCGGCTTCTTATTACTACCGCCGCACAAACGGTATTTGCCTAAGTATAGTATACGGAAAGTGATAGGTAAATTTATTTCATAGTATATTTAACTGATTATAAATATCGGGTCGCAGACCACCAAAAGCAAATAGAATCAATTATATAACAAGGTCTGATACTTTATCATATAACAGAACTCTCATTCTGTTACGCGTGTACGTAAACACGTCATTTGATATGCTTGAACGATTATTGCGAGTTCACCTTGGTTGGTAAACGAGAGCGAGAATCGACGATCCGGTGACATGACATGCTACTCTAATCCGATTGTCCCAAACCCTCCACTGAGTAGAATAAGAAGACTTGATATGAAGTAGAACATGTATACTACAAGCATCCATAAAGTACGAGGCCCGAGTTCAGTAGAAGATAAGGATCCCGGACTAAGGATCCGGGTCCTAAAACGTTACAGATAATGCATATTTATACAGTTAGGTCGAATAGGAAACAGCATCGAATTCTGTGACATTGACAGTTAAAGCGACCAATAGGAAGCAACATTCGAAGTGACATTGATAGTCAGGACGACCAATAAGAAACAACATTGATGAATGTCCTAACACATTCAACAGACCATTGTTGATAAATCAGTTAACCATTGAGATGGATTTCCTCTCTATATCAGTACTAACTAATCACTTGCTATCCGTTTCGACAAGCTCTAATGACCGAGATTTAAAGTAGATTTAGGAAAACATTGCAAAAAACAACAGACAAGGTACCGATTTATGAAACTATTGATTACTGACTTGAACGATTTCATAGTGCACCCATGTTTGGGTTGGTTGTTCATCAAGATTACTGTAATCTATGATTCCGATTACTAGATATCATGGTTTAAAATTGATTGTTCACTGTAGAATGTATTGATACCACGAGTACAATCTATATTCGTTTGTAATTTTTTGTCAATTTTGTTAACCTTTTCTGTGTAACGATGTATTATGCCACTAATTGGATTCAGATATATATTTTTACATTGTTTATTTTTTACTGACTGTCACAACTGTTGAAAACTGATACATAAAGTAAGTAACTATAAACAAAGAGTATAATTTACTAATAGACAGTGTGACTTATGTACCAAATAACCGTTCATGTGCTTCACTATCCGTCAAACCGTTCGATTGGGCTGTGCAAAAGAAGGTGTTTAGAGTTTGAACCAACGACAAACTAATACTAGTCGAAACCAAATACCAATAATCATTAGGCCAGTGATCTATTTACATACAATTAACATGATTACAAAATTTTTCAAATAATAAAGATATTCAAGAAATGAATCAATCGATAATTCGATTATTCATTAAATCAATGGACCAGATAGGAAAGCACTTTATTAAATTACCTCAATACTTGTAGACTTCATTGAACATACTGGGTTAGGATTGTTCAATGAAGTACATCTGTGAATAATTTGATGATCGGGCTGTTGTATACATGTTTTAGCATCACCATTATCAGCATTGTCGAATAATAACATAATTTTCATTTGTTCAATTAAACGCTTAATATTTGTTTGAATGTATGCTAAAATCTCTTTACTTTCATATTGAATTTGTTGTGTTAACTGATTGATATAGACTTGTAAACAGTTTATGAGTAGTATTGATAAATCTAATAGTAATTGTATATTCATATCATTCACATGATAACTAATGACATGTTTATATTCATTGTAACAAATTTGAAGTAACTCTTCAATTTTGAATAATTGATCTAAGAAAACCTGTAATAGTAGTGTATTAACGGTAGTAGAATAAGGAATTTTAAAAATTTAATTTGTTATTTATATGAAGTCACAAAATACCGGAAATTCAGTTTTTGCTACTTATCAGAATTTTACAACTATATCATTTTTATTATTAATAGTTTATTTACTTCCCAGTCTGATATCAGTTAGTATTATGAACTGCTTCAGTGAATAGAATTCAGGATTAAGAATACAACACTGTACAGAAAAAGTAGTACAATTTCTGGACGGATTTGTGCTGTATCATTTTGTGAATTTCGATCTAATGCTAAAAAAGATGAGTAGAATTAAGCAAAAGTTTTATTGGTAGCGAAAAATGCATGGGAATTTTTGAATGTTCTAGAAAGCTAACCAATGAAGTCTCACATTTCATAAAACTGAATTCAACTAAACTTGTCTATCTAA